CCTATTATCTCCCAGCTAGAGTCCAAGTTCCTTGAGGGTAATATTCTAATACCATCTAGAGTGCTACACACACACACACACACGAGTACATATTTAGTATATGTGCAACGACAGAACAGAGCCAATGAAACAAAACAAGTCTAGGCACAGTGTCCACTGCCATTACCCACACATGCCAGAGGCCTCAGAGATTCAGTTAAGGTGGTCACATGTTCGAACTATCATGCTATACAAATTATCCCAGCCTAATTTATGGCTTATCTCATCCTGAAGCAATTCAATCTCTATCCCCATGGAGAGAAGATAGCATAAGATACTACATCTTAGGAGCTCCAAATGGTTTCTTTTCACCAAGGAACACAGTCATCTAACCATATCCCTTTGTTTGCAGATTATCTGTATAGATTTGGTTCACCTGTCACCCCTTCCTGAGGGACCAACAGATAACCCTTTTGCCCTCCTCCAGAAATAACACTTCTAAGAAGATCAGGGCTTTCGGGGGCTCCTGGGTGGCTCAGGGGGTTAAAGCCTCTGCCTTCGGCTCAGGTCATGATCTCAGGGTCCTGGGATAGAGTCCCACATTGGGCTCTCTGCTCTGCAGGGAGCCTGTTTTCTCCTCTCTCTCTCTGCCTGCCTCTCTGCCTACTTGAGATCTCTGTCAAATAAATAAATAAATATTTTTTTAAAAAGAAGATCAGGGCTTTCAAAGGTCAGATACTTGGGAAAAAGAAGTCAGTAATTTTAGATTAGATATGTTTGTTTGTTTGTTTACAAAAGCTAGATTGAGTGAATGTAAGGGCACGTGGGTGGATCAGTCAGTTAAGTGTCCAGACTCTTGATCTCAGCTCAGGTCTTTCTCGCAGGGTCCAGAGTTCAAGGGGCTTTAAAAACAACAACAACAACAACAACAAAAACACTGACTGAATGTGTTAATGGGGCTTATTGGCTTACTTTGGAACTCTTCCATAATTTATCACTTTTGCCTTTGCTATACCTCAGAAATGCAGAAATGCTCTGTAGGAAACCAACAAACATTCAATGACATTTTACAAACATTGCAAAAGAAGCAAAGGTGCCCACTGTGGTGTGGGTCCTACCAGCATAGTTTCTCAATGTGGGTTCATGAGAGATTAATCCAATTCACCATTCCCAAACAGCCTATTCCACAATGCCATCAAAGGGTGATGGGTCAGCAGCAGGGAGGCAAAGGAAGGCTTACAGACAGAAAATTGTCACGGAAAAGCTTTGTGAAGATCCAGTTTTTCATGACAGCTAGTTTCCACTGAAATGAGCAATAGATTGTTCTCGCTTGGGGCAACTAGTTGTTCCAATTGAAACTATTATTATTTTATAACCAAAGTATATTTTTATAATGGGGCTTGCACCATTAAGCGAGAAACAACAATGTGAGCAATTCCTCGTGCCAACTTAAAGTACCTCTGCATGCAAACACGCCAGCATTTAGACCACAACACCCCCTAAGAAAGAAAATGCAGGATGTCTCAGCACATTCCCTAGATAGCTCTGTCATCAATTCAAAGAGGCCCCCTACTGCCATCCTACAGAGAAAATGCCCTATTACCTTTGAGCAGACACAACTTTGCTTCTACGGCCTTTTGAGAAATCCAACTCCTGGACTCCAAGTTCTGAAGTCAAACTACCTTGGCTAGACTACATTTGCTTGGTATCAGGCAAGAATAATCCCTCCACAACCCCCAAACCTCCTTTGAACAGCAAAACCAAAAGAAGCAAAGGGACTGTCTATTTGTATAGGAGCTTTGTGATTTGCCAACCACCCACACACACCCATGATCTCATCCAGTCTCATAACAACCCAGTGAGGTAACCCTCCTCACCCCACCTTCAAATAAGGTATGCCTACCTCACAGGACTGTCATGGGGATGGCACACAGTGAGCATACAGTAAGTGCTAGCTACTAGGCATTACTCACAGCAGCAAATATTACTTTACTCATCTTATTAGTGAGAGGCTGAGACTCAGAGGTTGGACACTTGATTCCAGGCAATGAGGCCTCTGGGGGTTTACAGCAAGCTGGGAAGGCAGAAAGGCTGGTGGCGGATTCTTTCCGCCACATCGGTAGAGACCCTAATTGTTCAAAACATTACAACTACACATTTCCATGGGAGCCCGAAGTCCCAATCCTGTACCCAGTTCTCTACCAGCCACATACTCAGAGCTTTAGTTCTCTGGACCTTTGTGTTGCCTTCTCCATAAAGAAGTCAGACTCCCCCCCCACCTTTTTTTAAACCAAACAAGGGAATGTCAGGCTTCCAGATGAAAGGCTCTATTACAAGTACAAAGTATCATTTAATTACACTGCTGCTCCAGTTATCTGCTTCCCAGCTCCTAACTCCCACTGGGCAGATTGTGAAACCGCATAAGAGATTATGTCAAGAGGGGAGAACAGGAGAAACATTCTCTCCCTGAACTTTCTTAAATGGAAGAGAGAAGCAAAATGAAAAGAAAGGCCCATTTTTCAAGGAGGGGGCTGGAGGAATGATGTTTCCATTAAGGGGACCTGCCTAAGAATCTATAGATTATTTAACGCCGGGGGTGGCTGTGGAGTGAAATAAAGGAATCTTTGTGCAGCGCCGGCCACAGTTCCCTCATTCCCTCCCCACAGCCAGGCATTTAACCCAACTCTAAATCATCAAGCTCTAATGCACCCCATCTGTGCACCGGTTGTAGCCCATGAAACTGAAGCCTGTGCTGACTTTGGCCTGGACTTGTGAATGAGCCTTTCTGCCCCAAAAGGGGCAGGGAGGAGGACAAGAGGCCAAAAAAGACTTTTCTGCTCATCACTTGTCTTCTCCCAAGGCTCACACCCCACCCATATCTATTTGATCATTTCGTGAGCTCTTGGCCATGGGTCAGGTTCCCGACCAGGAAGATACAAAACTAGGAGATGTGGTCCCAGGTGAAAGAGGATGTAGAAAAGCTCCTGGGAGAGAGGAAAGAGGTTAAGGAAAAGGGCTGCTGTTGGCTGAGGCACACACGCCTGAAATACCCCCATCTGCATATTCAGGGATGTTGGTGAGTTCCAAGTGGTTGGAACATAAAGCAAGGAACTGGCAAGAAACCTCACTCAAAAAGCCCAGACTGTCCAAGGCCCTGAATACCAGGCTTCAAACATCAATGCTGAAGACCACTATCATCTCCACATGTTCCCTCTGTCTATCTTACAAAACCCAGCTCAATACCACCTCTTCCAGAAACTCATCTGGATTGAACACGCTCAAAGAAACTGCTCTCTCCTCTTTGAGCCTCCAATTTGCATTCTTGGACAGCCTCTCTGAGTCTCAACTTCTCCATCCAGAAAATATGATTAACATCACCTACCTTAAAATCTTATGAGGGTTAAGTGAGATAACATTTATAAAGTGTCAAGTAGCAGTTTTTAGTACACAGAAGGTGCTAGGATCCATTTTATTGTTACCTCAATTTCTTATAATACATATGCACTTCCTCCTGGTATTAAAAAGATGTCTTGGCTTCCATTTTCTCTGGAGATTTCGAGAAATAGGACAGCTCACATTTTCCCTCCAAGTTTGCAGGCCCCCTTCCAAAGCAAAGGGGATGGACTCCTCTCTTCCCTCACTGACACAGCCTCCCCAGATCCAAAATTCCAGACTTGAGGGTTTCCCAAAAGATTCAAGAGGAATCTGAGACAAGGTGAGTCTGCTGATAAAGAAGCTACAGGCTGGCTGGAACATAAATGGCATAAAGGAGAATTAGCAGAAGCCTAGGGAAGTGAAAGTAGGCCAGAGGCCAAGACTCTGAGGACTCCAGGGTTCAAGCTCTGTGGTAACCCTAGATCTTGGGACAGGCCTAGAAGGACTTCTGTCCTCAGACCTGATTTGAGAAGCCCCACAACCACAGACATGGCTGTTCAAGCAGCCTCCTTCACTTCCTGTCAAATCAGCCAGGTGGACAGTACTGTTCTAGAACAAAGCCTTCATCCCTCTGTGCCTGGGACTACCAAGCTAGAGGCAGGAAAAGCAATGCCACCTTTACTAACAGATCAAGAACACTACTTTTTTTTTTTTTTTTTTTTAACTGAGTCTGGATATGTAGAGAGGTCGGTTTGATTTTTTTAATCTTAATGGCATGAGTCCATGTTCTGAGGAAGGGTGCTTTTTAAGGAGAAGAGGTCCCCATGATCTTTCTCCCTTTTCATGCATCCTAGTTAAAACCCGTTTCTCCTCCCATGGGAATTCAGGGCTAGGAGAGAGGGAACTCCCCTGAAAATGCTGCCTGAAGGAGCCAGTTCCTGGATTGCACAACTGGGATGTTGGGTTTACTGGTTAACAATTCCCCCAACCCAACTTTAGAAAGCAGCTGCTCAAGTGTTTCAGGAAAAATAGGGTTCCATTCTTTCTTCTGATTATGATCAAGTGTCACTCCATATTTTACCTCATGCAGAAGCCCTAAAGAGGCCAGTGAGTGGGTCAGCTCTTTACCAAGCCACTTTTGGTCCTCCCCAAAGGCCACCCGTTTTAGTAGCTCAGCAGTGTTACAACCTTCCCAGGGAGCTTGGAAGGCAATATCCCCTCATCTCAGCTAAGAAGTCCCTCCTACGAGGTATCCTGCCCCGACCACATTTCCTGGACTTCTCTTTCCAGGCAGGCAGCACTCTCCATGGCGTTCACCCGCCAACTTGAGCTAAGCCAGCCAAGCAAGAGGTTCCAATCACTGCTCAGCCCCTCTCCCCTCCGGCCTGCGAGCCACCAGCCCCCCAGCCTCCAACAAGGATCACATCTAACTTTCAAAATTACAAATTAAACTAGTACATCCTCCCTCCAACTCGGAGTTATCTCTCAGCTAAGTGAGACAGCCACACACGTTAGCCCTCTCTGTACAAAACATAAAGTACAAGGATCTCGGGCTCTTCGGAAGAGCTCGTAAGCCTATGCAACCTTATGAGCCAGAAGTGCCCCCCACCCAGAGCAGGGCAAGGAAGGCCTACAGAGGAAGGTACCTTGGAAATGAGTTCATCATGATTGGCCAAATGGGCTCTGCAGTGAATGCAGCTGTAGGTCCGGTGGCAGGAGGGCAGATATGCCTGGAAAGTCTTGGATCTTGTCATCTTCACCATTGGCGCCGCTGAGCGTGGGGTGAACTCTGGAGTGGCCCACGAGGCACTCCCACAGGATGGGTCGCACGGGAAACACCGGAAGACACAGGTAAAGGCCGTGGTTTGGCAGGGGGTGGGTGTGGGGCAGGCTCCACACACTGGTGATGTCTTCAGAGGAAGGACCCTCAAGCAGAGGTCGAGGGCTGGTTCTCAGCAGCCTGCAACACCAAGATAAGGGGAATACCATGAGCTGATGGAACAGGGCTTCCTGCAAAGCAAGTCAAGTCCAACTGCCAACCAAGAGAGAGGGCAACATTTACAGGAAGAAATGACCGCTTCTCTGTTTCTTACCATCATTGTCAAGACACCCAATTATGAGAAAGGAACTACTGGGGATCTCAGTGCTGCTGCTTGTCCAGAGTTGGAGGTTCAGTATCAACCCAGGGTTCTTCTCAGCAGTCACCCAAGGTACCCTCCACCAACATTCAGACACTGGCATGAACACCATTCTTAGGGAACCATAGAAGAGGCCAGGATTAAGGATGTGCCACCTGTAGCTCCAAAGAGAAGACTCTTAAGTGGCCTCCTCTTCTGAGCCAACCAAGATAAAGGCTAAATGAAAAGTTTAACCTCTACAAAGTCACTAGATCAACAGTCATGTATGTATTTCTCATCCACCTCCAGATACCAGTAGTCTTCGACTACTTAAAACCACCACCTAGCAGATACCTGGGTGGTTCATTCAGTTAAGCAGCTGCCTTCAGCTCAGGTCATGATCCCGGGGTCCTGGGATCAAGCCTTGCACTGGGCTGCCTGCTCAGTGGGGAGTCCACTTCTACCTCTGCCTCGTTCTCTCTTGCACGCACGCACACGCACTCTCTATTAAATAAAATCTTAAACAAACAGCAACAACAACAACAAAAACCCCACCACCTACAGAGATAACAAACCCCACCACCCTTTGCTTGGGACGAAGCAAGATACAAAGGATCAAACTCCCAACCAGCAGGGTTCCTCGTGGCTAGCCAGCTCTTTTAGGCAAAATGATTTCCTTTGCTATACCTTGCCCAGAAATAGATGCTCAGTACTTTTTTGTCTGAAAAGCAAGCAAGCAAATGAATGAAACAAATGACATAATCAGACTCCTGCATCTAGAATTCACAATGACAGTGAATTTTACCAGAATTTCTCTTCAACCCTCAAAATTTCCATTAGTCATCCCACAGCACCAAACATCTCTCCTGCCATTGCCTCAGCAATTCTATTCTACTGGGAACCAAGGACACTGAGAAAGTGGGTGGTTTCCGGGCTATGTCCAAGTAAAGGTCTGAGGGGAAAGCCCCAAGGTCCAAGGCACACTGTGCCTCTCGGGCTCCCCTGCCCAAAGCTTCTGGACCTGCCTATTCCTTGGGCTTCACTGACAGGGGTGGTGTTCCCACTTGCCTACCTCCCAGGGGAGGCACAGTGTTAATTAATGCCTGCACCACACTTTGAAGATAAAATTATTTAGAGAGATGGGGGAGGAAGACAAACAAAATCAGATCTTCTTTGCGGGATTATGTCTGGGATCCATCTGGATGTTTAGAGAAAGCTGCAAATCATAGTTCTCTTTTTCCTCTAAACCTTACTAACTAAATCTTTCCAAAGGGCTGATGTCCTCCTCCCTGACATCCTTCCCACCACAGCAGTCACTGAAAGTCACTACACCCCTGGGCCTCTGTACATCTTCCTGAGGGGCCAACAGCACTGCCCAGCACCAGGCTGAAGGAAAACAGCGGTCACTACTCTCACCCCGCATTTCCCTTGAGCACTCCTGAGCCACACAGGGCTGCCCGTTCAGGGTGACCAATTACACATGAAGATGCCCAACTGCTGAAGGAAATCAGACCTACAAGGACCCAGGCATAGTGTTTTCCCTGCTTGGTTCACCCACCACTATTTTTAAAGATGTGAAATCAGGTGACACTGAACATTATAGAAATAGTTGGATACATAGTCTTGGGAGACTATGGAGGGGAGAATGGGTTTCCCTGGCACTGGAGTTAGGACTGGCCAGAAGATGAGGAAGGAATACATATGACCCCTTGGATCTAGAGCCCCTCTTTCTCATCCTGGACATCCCCTGATAGTAGGTAAGGTGAAGTGTGGTCAAAACGTAAGCCCATGGTAGCTCAATCGTGTTGGGTGTTGAGGCTGTTGAGTTGTTATAGATGGTAGAAAGAGACAAGTACCCTGTCTGACATTTCCTGAAATACCCTTGAACTTTCCAATAGCCCTGTTTCGCTCTCAGAAAGGGCAGTATCTCCAGGAAAAAAGGGGTGGTAGGTCAGGGTAAGAAATAGGAAAAACAGGCAGGGAAACGAGCTGGAGGCTTGCCTCAGGCCAGCTTCTGAAGTCCACAGCCCTCACTGCCCAGTGGGGAGCTCTCAGAGCAGGGGTCCCATCCGTGTTATAAAAACACTGAAGGAAGAAAAGGAAACCATGAGCCCTGGCTGCCAGTCTGGGTTTACAGAGCAGCCACAGAGTCTGTTTTCTTATACATGCAGACAGCTTCTAAATTATGCATTTCCCCAGAGTAGAATTATTTCTTTTCTCACTTCTCTTCTGTAGGAAACAAACAAACAAAAAAGTTTGCAGGCAGGGGTTTCTGTTATGCTCAGCTTCAAATCTGAATTCCAAAATTTGTTCAAAGCTACCTTCTGAAGAATAAGCATTTACAGTCCGTACTATACATACATACTGTACATACAAACCCATACCCATGCACACACTCATCACACACCATAGCTCTGAACTTAAAGACAAGAAATGACCCCGTAAGCAACGTCCCAGGCTGCTTGGTGCTAGAGAAACCTCAGAGTGCCTAGCCAGCCAGCATGGGACTCTGCTGTCACTCTGCTCCCCTCCCTCTCTCACAGAAATTCATAGGCATCCAAAACAGGACTCCTTCCCTGAGAAGGAAGGAAGGGAAAAGTGGCTTGTTGAAATACACATCTTGTTCAACCACGACGGGGCAAGCTGGAAGCAATGAGAGAAGTCAGGAGAAAGCAAGCTAAAGCCGAATCAAGAGAGGGTCTTTGTGCCTGAGAAGAAAGAGAGCAGGCTGTCACAGGAAAGAGGTGACAGCGAGGTCCCAAAAATAATCACCTATTACTGTCTTCTTTCCTAAGGGAAAATTTTAAAAGCTGCTTCTCTGAGTCAATTGTTAGGAAGGAAAGTAAAATAGATGGATTTATTCTTTTTTTTTTTTTTTAGTTTTTTAAAAAGATTTTTATTTATTTATTATTTATTGAGAGAGAGAGAGAAAAAAGAGAGTGAGAGAGCATGAGCAGGGTGAGGGACAAGCAGGCTCCCTGCTGAGCAGACCCTGAGATCATGATCTGGGCCTTGAAGTCAGATGCTTAATCAACTGAGCCACCCAGGTGCCCCTGAGTTTTTTTTCTTTAAAGGAAGAAATGACCATTATGGGGCTGTAGAACTCACCACATTCTGATTTTTGGACTTTGGTACTTATAATGGGGCCACAGGCTCCATGGGGCTCCATGAGTCCAACTCATGGAGTCCAACATACTGTGGAGTCCAAATTGATTTCCAACAATCGTCAAATGAGCTCGATGTTTAAAAGCCTCAGGGCACATGTACAAATTAAACACCATTTTAAGTGAAGCAATAATCCATCACAGTGGAAATTAAAGGAAGATTTGCTACCACCCCCAGCTGGCTCCTGCTGATCAGCATGGAAAGAAAAGATGTGAACTATTATGATTAAAAACAAACGCCTCAGCTACTGCACTCGGAGAGCCAAAAGCACAGGCAGCACACAGCGAACCTGGCCGTCTCACCTGACAGGCCTCTTCCACAGGGAGCCACCGAGGCAGCTGGAACTCAAAACAAATGTCTGCGTGGTCCCAGGATGGTGGGGTAGGAAGTAGGAATGCTCCAGGTAAGCCATGAAGGAACTGGATGAACGAGGTGCGACACAAGGGGCCACAGAAACTGAGAAGATGGGGGGAGGGGACGCCTGGGTGGCTCAGTCATTTAGCATCTGCCTCCTGCTCAGGTCATGATCCCAAGGTCTTGGGATCAAGCCCCGCATTGGGGCACTGGGCTCCCCTCTGGGCGGGAAGCCTATTTCTCCCTCTTTCTCTGCCTGCTGCTCCCCTGACTTGTGCTTGCTTGCTCTGTCTCTGTCAAATAAGTAAAAATCTTAAATAAATAAATAAATAATAAATAAATAAACAAACAAATAAATAAAGCAATGGCCTGGTGAGGAAAAATAGGAAGGATGCCTCGGGCTGAGGTCACAGCATCAGCAAAACCGTGCAAGGGTGTGTAAAGTATAGTGTATTCGGGGGAACTAAAAGAATTTGGTTGCTAAACTGGAGCACTTAAGACAGTCCCTAACACAGGGCAGACCCTTAATGTCAGCTTAAAAAATGGGAGCGCAGAGTATGAGATGGCAGAGAAGAGTGAGAAGCAATACGTGGGTGCTGATGGCAGCTGGCTGGCAGCGTAAGATGCCTGAAACCTGACTGTGCACTTCCTACCTGCCAGGTGCCCATGTGGAGTATTAGCTTAGTTAGTCCTCACAGAGCCTCCGGAGGTTGCTATTATTCTTCTTCTTTTCTTATGAGGAAAGTATGGTCCAGAGAGGTCAAATAAACATGCCCCAGGGCACACAGCTTGTGTAGGATAAAACTTGAGATCTGAAATTCCTGAGCAAGGTTCTAGAACCCATCTTCTAAACCACTGCCCTGTATTGCCTTTCTGAAGGCCATGAGAGTGGTCATGGTCAAATCTACTTTTTCTACTGGCTGAAATGCAGAAGGTGGATTTCAGGGGGAAAAGAGGTACAGAGACCTTCTAGGGTTGTGTAAATCAGAGATGCTATGTTCTTGGTATTCCCTTAGGGCCTGTGGGAGCTTGGCCACTGAGGAAGCCACCTCTTCGAAAGACCTCAACAGCAATTAGGGTAACACTCCAATGGCTCCTCCAATGTCATCACCTGCTTGTCTTTCCTTGAGAAGTCTAGGTTTGGAGAAATATCACCCCAATAGGACTATCTCCTGTGATGCCCGAGGACAAGCTAGAGTGTCCTCACAGAACTGGCAATGTAACTCTCGGGTCTCCTTTTTCTTTTTCTTCTTTTTTTAAGCAGCAGCATTTTTTTTTAATTGACCACTAAGAGTAATAATAGTTGTAATTGTGGTGTGTATTGTGTGCCAACACTGTGTATGCTCGTATCAGTTGGGGAAGCTAAGGGTCCAGTGGCTGAATAACTTGCCAAAAGCCACTGAGCTAGAAAGGAGTAGAAGTGCTTCCACACCCCACTTCTTTTCCAGGCAGTCTTTGCCCACCCTCCACCAAACACCCAACAAAAACAATGGGATGGTCTTCTCCTGTGGCTGGAGCTACTACTTCTTTTATTTTCTTTTACTTTTAAAAAATATTTATTTGACAAAGACAGAGAAGAGCACAAGCAGGGGGAGTGGCAGGCAGGGGGAGAAGCAAGAGGCTCCCCAGTGATCAGGGAGCCGAGCCCAATGTGGGGCTTGATCCCAGGACCCCAGGATCATGACCTGAGCCATCCAGGCG